ACTTTCCTCTAAGGTGTGCGCAGTGCTGCAGTCCTAACTGAAGTTCGGGCTGTGGACGAAAATATTAAGCCTCCCAAAACAGTTGCTTGGTTCCTCTAGATCCTGTCTGGTTTGTGGAAAGATACTCTTCATCTCTACAACTCTATCTCACTTCCTTTCATACTTATAGGGACACATGTATCCTTACAACTCCTCTTCCCTAGTGTCCTATGTGCTTGTGGCATTATTTCATTATTATCTGTTTTCATTTTCAGGGCAAATATTGCACCTGTCCACGGAAGGGAACACGATGGGGGGACCCCCCAAACCTCTGGGTTTGAGGGCTGGGAGGTATGAGGGATTCAGAGGAAAGAAGACCATTGTGGAACAATAAAAGGAATACAGGGGGGTTATGGGCCAAGCAGCAGGCTACTACCCCTGAGATTCTGGGGCGAAGAACTGCCCTTTGCTCTGTCCATGAGCTACAAAGAATAAGCAATATTGATGAGAAGATGAGACTGGAAAACCTGCATCATTGGGAAAGTCAGTAAGGATAGTGTGGAGGCAACTTTCTCCTAAGATCAGGTGTACCCAAGGAAATTGGGGGGGGGGGAGTATGGGAAGAGGGAATGGAATGGTTGGAATGGAGCAAAGAGACATGTGAGCTAAGCACAAAGGATAAGAATATTTGAAATACACGCGGGTCTCTCTTGCTCCTGGTACGAAGCTGGGCTCCCCTCGTGTTCTCCCCAGAGACAGGCTACACCAATATTTGATTACAATTAATGCCCCATTTCATACGTCTTGTAGGGTCCACCCTGTATTCTCGTAACGCCCCGACCGCGTGAGCCAGGTACGTACTCATTCCACACACCTCAGCCTGCTTGTTATGCTCCCCTGGGGGAACCTTTTTTTGTCCTTTTTCACAGGCAGCCAGGTGTAGATGTCTGGATGAGGCTAACAGCTCAGTGGCCACACTCCAGTCTCTGATGCAGAGGGTGGGCACAGGGAGGAAGGAATCAGGCAGAATTCCTGATAGTATACTTGTGAATAATGCCACCAAGTTATCAGCCTATTTGATTTTCTATTTAACCATTTATGGCCTCAAGGAAACAAAAGCAGCAATGTGTACAAAGGTTCTAGGTATGATTGCTTGGATGCAAGCCTTAACTCAACAGGTGAGCAACAAATCAGAAGTCCAACTTAGAGGTTTGCAAGGACCTGATGTGTAGTCCCTTATTCCCAGCACCCCAGTCCTTATTTAAACTGCTTTCTAATTGGCTGATGTTGCAAAAGAAAAAATCACCAGAGAAAAGTCTGTGGATGCATTCTTCTCCCCGTTTTCCTTTATATTCAAATAAGTTCCAGTCTCCAGGTGCAGATTGCTCTGTATATGGAATTGAGATCTGCTCACCTCAGCTGTTCACATGTGCAAAGTCTCTTGTAAATGCAAGAGAGATAACAGTGCACTTTGTCTGCAAAAGCAAATGTTGTCTACGAGTGTGTGCAAAGGGTGAAACTGGGTGCTTGATGACATGTTTGAATCTTGCTGCATGCCAGGCAGGCACCGCTGTCCCTTTGAACAGGCAAAACCTAGATGAGCACATGAATGTGACAAATGCAACAAAACAATCTGCACATGTGCATTTGTGCCTGGTCGCAAGGGAACCTGTTTCTGCAAAATCCAAATGGGTCAATGCAGAACTTGTTGCTTGGTTGCATATGGTTAAAAAGGCTTGCGCATATATAGAGAGCAGGTAAGCTCCATGCTTCTGAAGGGTCACTTTATCCAAATAATTTCCAAGCAGGAAATTTCATCTGGTTTGAAGTGATTCTTAGAATGTGCAGATTTCTCCCGTGCAAATGCTCTGCTTCTGCCATTAAGAAGTATGCTGGCCAGCATTAGGAATGTGCACTTTCGCACATGCTCTTTTCATTTCCCCTTATTGTGTGCAAATGGGAACAAGCGTGCACTAATTCCTTGCCAATGTAATCACCTTTCTTGTGCACACAACAGCTGTGGCCCTTCCTCTATGCTGCTTGTGAAAACTGTCCTGCTTAGCCTTTCCAGCGCAGTGTGACTAGGTCTCCATGTCTTTCTTTGTCCCCAGCTCTGATTACCGCCTGAGACTGGCTGGGCATGTGAACTCCAGCGCCCCTCGGAGGCAGGTCAGCCCTGCTCAATGCTTTCAGTCCATTCTGAGTGTGTTGTTGCTCTTGCTCCTGATGTGGGGTGGGTGCTGCCTGGCAGATGGGAAAGGAGACCTCAGGGCATTGCACTCTGCCTCACAAGTTCATTTTCTTCACTCTGTTCAGAGCTGAATTGGCAAGACCTGCCTGAGTTGTACAATTGGGCTAAGCTGAAAGTAGCTCTGGAGTGGCTGTCTTCAACTTGGAAATAATCCTTAATTGCCTTTGTCTGACAGACAAATATCAGGAGGCTTCTTTGAGCTGAGAAAATGGGCCTTGTAGTGCAATACCCTGGTGAGAAAATTATGCATCTGTGTTTACATACTGTGAATGTTCAGTTACATGCTAGTCTGTTAAATAAGAGCATGGTACGTACACAGCATATGTGATGACTTGTTCTCTGTATCTGTAATATACAACATTACATGCCAAGTAATATGCCACATGAACTGGCAAAGAGCATGATTGCATATGTGGCAGCAGGCATATGCATGTTATGCAACATACATCAAGGCACCTTATTTCAGCACACAGAAGATGCTACAAAAATATACATCACATATATTGATGTAACAGACATAACACACTACATACAACGAACTGCAAATCTGGTACTGTACATTCAGTTTTATGCTACATATACATCATGTACTGTATAGACATGCACCAAGCATTCAACATGTTATTTCAGCACATCATGTGATGACATCTATGACTGCCATGTTAACATACTGCCACTCACAAACTGATAGACTCCGCACATATACTCTGGTTTGTGTTTGGCCTATATAATGACATATTTGCCACGTGCATGATATACAACACAGAGAGAGATTGCTTTTGCACAATCTAGTCATTATATTTATATTACTGTACACAGTTTCATGTAAGTATTTCTTGTCCCTGTGCACAATTAGCAAGTTTATCTAATATCACTTTCATCCAACACATAGTTTACGTTATCACTGTGCACAGTCTTTTTTTTTACATATAACTCTGTGCCTACATGTGTAATTATATGTTATCCAGCTGCAAGGTGTCCTTTATGAAAGTTTTCTCTGATACCCATCAATGACATGTAAGTATTTAATTTTTTTTACTTGAAAAAGTTGCTGTCCACTTTTCGTGTTCAAGTGTTTCTGTGTGCACTGTAATACACAGCTCCCTTTACCCTAAATCTGTAGTGATCAGGCTTTGATAACATCTTGCTCTCAGATGCCATGTGTGTTGGTAGCAGGGTGCTTTTCAACATATCCATTGTCTCTACCTGGGATACACTAAACACCAAAAGTTAGCAGGTTGTAATAAGCTTAAGGCCCTTCCATCTCTCAACAGATCTGCCATAAGAGAAGTACAAGCATGATGTGTTATGTTTTTGCTGACGTTGCATGCCTAGCTTTGTGGGGCACATATTTGTAAGTATGTAAAGGGTTAAATAGAAGTATATTCCTGTTCTGGGAAGAGAGTAAAGAGACTGGGAAGGTGTCAGGATTTGACAAAGCCATAGAGGCTAGTGAAACTGATATTTTGGGGGCACGGAATCTGTACCAGGTATTAGTCCAAACAGAAAAGATCCATCCAAAGTGTGAACATTGTTTGATGGATAAGGCTCAATACCTTGGATAGCTCCTATAAACTTCAAATTAAAGCCTAGAGCAGATAAAGCAAACACCCTGCAATGTTGGAATCACTGGCCTTTCTGCAAGATCTTGGCATCAATGGGAATTTCCTCTCAAAGCAAAAATCAAAGAAAAATGTTCTTCAAGATAGCAGCTGTGGAAGAATTGATTAAATCCTGTCCCATTTGAGCCGATTAAAGTCAGAATTTAGTTTGTCCTCAGCTCAATGCCACCTAACACCTTACTTTTTCTTGTCTTAAACTGGCAGTTTCTCCCCTTGTCTAGTGAAGAAAGGGTTATAGATTGTAGCAGAAGTACAGAAGGATGAGGACAAGTCCATGGCTTGCTCCCCATCCCTGGTCAGCTCTTACATGGAGCATCTTGTATACAGTACTTTGGAGGGGGAAACACTGTATACATGCCAATCAAAATCATATTGCTTTTGTTTAGCTTTGATGGATTCTGGAGTTTTTATAATTTCAGTTTCTTACATATATGTATAGGAATTACCCCCTCCAAATGAAATTGGTATGTGAAGTAGAATCCCCCTTACTGTCTTTTAGTTTTTTAGTACTCCTTCCCTTACGCTTCTTTAGCACAGCTCAGAGCTTAAAACATTTCTTAAACATAACTAACTCATTACAATACTTGTTACAAGGTATTCCCATTCGTTGCCTGTTACCAAAACTGCTGGATTAGATGCAGCAGAAGTGTTAGACCATCAGTCTATTTTTGTTTTGTATTGTTTACACCAAATGTGGGGTGGGGAACATGTGGCCCTCCAGATATTGTTGGATCGCCATCCCATCAGTAACAGTCACTTCCTTTAAAAAGGACAGGGGGATGCTTATAGCCATGAGACTTAAAAATATTACCAATAAATATCTCAGTGCAGTGAATATTAAGCTAAGTGATACATGCCTGAATCAGTGCATGACAGAGGCATGAGAAATGCAGGAGAAAGTACAGTAGCTGTCTCTTCCAACACACTACTGTGACAGAGTGGAAGAGTTCTGCTTATCAATCACAATTCCCAAAATCCTTCACTAGCCATGCAGGTTGGAGGATTCTGGGAGTTGTGGCCCAAAACTTGTAAGCCGGCTGAAGACCAAGATTCTGCTTTGAAATCTTTGATGCCATACAGACTCTTTGTTGACTTGTTTCTTCTTTCATCCTTCACAACTTTCTTTTTTTCTGCTTCCTTCTTCACAGCACTCCCAGCAGGCTATGAGAAGTCCCACAGCCTGAACAGCATTGCTGGACTGCGCCCTTCTCCAGCACCAACTCCCTTCGGCTCTCCAGGTTCTGTTCGACGCCCTCGCTCACCCATCCCTTCCATCCTATAAAGACACATCAGGGATGCTCGGGGTTAGCTTGTATGTTTATTTCTTTTTTAAAAAAAAAACCATAGAAGAAAAAGAAAAAAAATAAGGTAATGCCAAAAAAGCAAAGGTAAAAAGAAAACAAAAGCAACCAAATGCATTGGGGAAAAATGAAACACAGGAGGCATCTAATCGTTGGTGTTGCACTAAAGTTTGCACTTTCTGGAGTGTCCATGAGAATTCTGAAGCCTTCTGTCCCTGTGGCTATGACTCAGGAGTATGGTTTAGGTTTTTGGGGGTGGGTAAGTGGGGAGGTTTGGCTTACCCGTAAAATCCAAATACCCCTAAAAGCAGGAAGGAGAGGTCAATGAGAGAGATGGATGCTGCAGGAAAGCCCCGCAGCCCTCATTATCTGGGCACCTGCATTTCTCCTCTTCAGCTTCACTGGACTGCAAAGTATTTCTCTGACCCTGGCTTTGCGCTTTATCTCCATTTTATGCTCCTTCCTTTATCATCTTACTCAGGACTGTAATGAGCCATAGAGCTTAGTGATCCTTCTTTTCTTCCCTCCTTTAGTTACATGTCCCTCTCTGTCTATGCACTATAATCTGGGTTTGATTTATCTGTCTTTCTAATCTGTCACTGGTCTGTTTGCCTACTGCCATTTCTCCCTAAAATACCTTTCCATCTATCAAAACCATCCTCTGCTGTAGACATCCATCCAATCTCTCTTATGTGTATCTCCCTTTACTCTCCCTACTTATTTAATGAGTGATTCTGGTTCTTTGTTCATAATGGACACTCCACAGTCTCTCTGGGGAAGGCCACCCCACCCACCTGACTTAGGCCTTCTGTCTTTCCTTGGAATTGTTCTTCTTGTGCATGGATCTTCCATCAATCACAAGCAATAAGGCGAAGCGCTCCTATCTGCCTGGATGCATGATAATGACTTTCCTAGAATGTAGATATTCCAAGAACCATCAAATTGCTACAGATGAAAGAGCTGTGGAGAGCCATAGAGACCAGGATAGAGTTGTGGGGAGCAAGAATTCCAGCATTTGAATGGGCCTGAAGAAGAAAACTTTGAGGCCCAGCCTTCTTCCTTCACCAATCTCTTTCCCTTTCTTTCTGTTTATTTACCACACACACACATACCTTGTTTTGTTCTTTTTCATACACACAAAAAAGACAATGGAGCACCCTTTTTGAGCAGGGTGTTTTCACTGTGATTTCCCCTCCCCTCTATTTCCATCCAAAGTTGAGATGGGATGATATTTTAATTGGTTGCAAAAAACCTAAAACAACAACAAAGCATAAAAGGGTGGGAAGAAACAGAAGAGATTGAACAACGTCGTCAATAAATGAAATACGGGAAAAATATTAAACCTATTTTTTCAGCACAAAAAAGGAATACATACATACATAATAACAAGATTAGAACATTTGACAGCGACCACGTGGGGGGAGATATCTCCCCCAAGCTTCTCCTGGAACTACAGAGTACAGAACATGCTTCTGAGCAGCAGAGTATGGGACATATTATTTTTCAAAGCAATGCTGCTGAAACAGATCAAACGAAAACGCAAGGAATAGTGCTGCTGAGCTAAACTATTTAGAGTTTGCATTTTCGAAGCCAGCATGTATTTGCATGTGATACTGTAAGCGACAATATTTAATGTTATATGCAAAAACAAGTCAAAAAAGACAAAAAAAACCAACTAAAAAAAGAGAGGTATATTTTCCTTATGGACTTGAAGTCCCTTGGAAACAAGAAAAATCACCCAGTTTAGCCAGTGCCCCCTTCCTTTGAACTGTTCCCATCCCGAAAGGGGGTAAGAAGCACCGCATGTTGTAGGAGCTTGGGATATTCTAAAGGGCTTTTTCTTTCCTTGGGTGTAGGGTCATATGTTGTTAAAAGATGTTGGCAAGGAGAGTTCTCTGTCCTAGATCAGAATCCAACAGTCTCTTATTTGTAATAAATGTAACAATTGAAATAATGCAAGGGAGGAGTATGGTGTGCATATTACTAACTCATATAGTAACCTGCAGAGGAACAGATACTTCAGGTCTCTTGTTCCCTTATGTGGACATTCAGACAGTATGTTTGAAGCAGTACAAAAGGTCGCAATTTTGATGGCCAAGTTGGAAATGGAAGTGAAAGATACTGTACAGCAATTCTATAGACAGAAGCATCCCCTTTAGCTGATGTATTTTGGCAAAGGAATTCTCCTCCATCAGAGGGATGTAATATACAGTAGATGTGGAACATTTCCTTTGTATATGTTCTCCTACCTGGAATTTTCCAATCTTCAGTGCCTCAGCTTCCATTAAAAGACAGTTTTCTTAGCAATTACAGGAGAATAACAAATAAAGTGCCACCACATCTAGTTTGAAAGTCTAGTACCAATAAAGCTAATTTTTGTAAAAAGAGTAATGTGATTTTGCAAATTTGCACAGCTCCAGTATTTCAGTGAGACTACTTTTGGGGAATGCAAAACATATACGTATTGTAAGAAGCTCAGGAAGTGCAGTGGAAATTGCTGGAAGGATATAGGCTCCTAATCATTTTGAAGAAGAAAAAACTTCAAAATTCCAACACTTATGGAAGCAGTTCTGGAGCTTTGCTGACCTAATGCTGGCTGTTACTGACAGACTTACTTTTGGAAATATAATTATTTTGTGTGCTTAAAAGGAAAGTTATGTAGAATTGTGGCTGGGGCACCACTGTTCATTATAGGCAGTCTAAAAATATAGCTATCAAGGAAAAAAAAATCCCATGAGCAGCTGAAGTAATAGCAAATATTGCAAAAGTGGTTTCTGCTGTGCTACAACCTCTGGAAGTGCCAGCCTGGATAGTCTGATATGAAATTCTGGAAGCTGTTGTCTAAAAGTAACTTTACAGGTTCTGAGCAATAGTTATCCCACAGTGAAAGCAGAGTTTAAAAAGTTCTTTTTTTGGATTATAGGTCCCAAAATTGCTGAGCCAGTGTAGGCATTGAATTCTGGGAGTTGTGATTCTGAAAAATAACTTTTTTTAATTCTGAGTCAAGTGACAAATTGGTTCTATTGTTGTCAGACTGTCGGGCTTTTATTTCCACAACTAAAGTGTTCATAACCTTGATGACTGACAGATGATAACCAGGATGGCACAAAAACTAGCTGTCATGTCCTATCTGTGAACATGGGCAGATGCACCACATCTTCATCAGCATCTGATTGGCTTCTTTATCTCACAGAGCTGTTAATGTCAATTAAATTTTGACCTTTAAAATTTTGTTACTATTAAACTCACCAGCACCAGTAACTGCATGTTATTGCAGTGGCCATATGCTCAGCTCTCAGAGAGCTACTACATAATTTTGGGTAATTCCTTAGAAGCACTTCCAATCATGTTTGATAAAACATTATTTATTTATTTAAAATGTTTCTGCCCCACTTTTTTGTCACTCCAACAAGACCCACAAGTCAGTCAAAATAAACATTTTGAAACATAATACTGCACTTATCAAGTCAAGAGAAAAGAAAAGAGAAAACCATTTATAACATTGCAGAACTTTTAACCTATGCTGGCTCAATTGGAGAAAACTTGTTTAGTTCAGAATGTGGATGTTTAACCCTAATCAAAATGGTTAGGACATTTTAGTAACCAAGAATCACAGAATTCACACAGAATTAGACTGCAAGGTAGGCATTTTACAATCATTTAATAACAATAATATAAAGAATTATAAAGAATAGCCCCCCCCCCCAGTTTCAGCCACCCAACATACACTGTTCTTTTGTTTTTGTTTTTAAAGAGCCAGAAACCCAGCTGGGACAAACATTATCCAAACAAAAGCTGCATTTATTGCATTTGCTACTTGGGTACTTTTTTGTCCCAGCCATTATAGCATATCATTAACATATGCCCCATGCTATCTTTGGCAAACCATGATGCCAAAAATCTCAACGGGTATATTCTTTTTATCAGTAGGTTGACTCCATTCAAGAGGGTCATGTAAATTCTCACTGGTTTCAGAAAATACAGGAGAACCATTAACACTAACACTTACCCTTTGCCTTAATCCATTGGAATTTTAATGGGGTCAGAATTATTCAGTGCAGTTAAAAAAATCTACTTGGATGCGGGTTAAACCATAGGGCTAAATCCAATACTAATCCCAGCTAGAATAGACTCACTGAAATGAATAGGATATGTTAGTCAAACAAGTAACTTAGGGTGCAACTACATTGCAATATACTCTCCCAATTACTCCAGATTTAACATGGTGCAAATCAATTCATAATTTCTCGATGTTATGGGGGAAACTCACACTTTTCTTCAAATAATTCCTTCTTTCTGAATACCCTTTGGTAGGTTGTTTGTTTTAAATCACTCTATATTACACTGTTTTTGGTCTGTTTTTGGTTGTGTGAATGACCATATTGTTATATTCTGTGTATGGGTTTTTCTCTGTGCTGACATCTTGGTGATATGTTTGAAGTGATGTAGAATGCTGTCCCATTGGAAAATCATTCTACTATCTGAACTGTTTCCCTTTTTTAAAAAGCACATTCAACTTTAGTGCTGTATCACATAGGCACTGAGTCCTCTCTGCATCACTCTCTGCAGCACTGCAGCGCTATGCCACTTAGAATAAAGAAGTGGGGGAAATTAACTCTGAACAGGATGATTATGGATAAGGACAGACTGCAGGTGGGGTCAGGATAAACCCATGGGTGGATGAAAGTGCCAATCCTGGGTCTATTTAAGACCATTTAAAGAATAGTGTAGTCCCCTGCATTGAATCAACCTGGTTCAATTGAGGCTCCATCATGAGTACAGGAACAGTGACACAAAGAGCACATGGCATAAATTGTTACAATAACATCCTGACACGACTCTCAGATTATTTGGGCAATGTAGTTGCACCCTTAATTTCCATTGATTTCAGTGGTTTCCTGTTCTTCTTGGGACTAACACTGCATTTGGTCCATAGTTTTGATCAAACTATTCATAGCAATTTATTACCAATTTATAATTGGTATATGGAACTATACCAATTAAGGCATAAGAGACAGAAAGCATGTAATCTTGTTCTATGCTTTCTGTACATAAGGCATCAACTTAGGACCTAGTATTTAACATTATTATAACAATTGAAACCTGAAGCATCTTATTTCCCATAGTTCAAGCTTGTTTCTGAAAGCATCTGGACCTGCTACTGTCAGCTGTATATCAGCATCCATAATGGCCATGTTAATTTTCTGTACCATTATACTGTAGTAGCAAGCTTTATAAGGGTCATTCAGCATGTTGAAAGTGAGAAGAGAAAGAGATTGGAGCATTCTTGGGGAGGAGAGTGGTATAGACAAAGGTTGAATTAGAATTATCTGTATGAATTAGTTTTTGGCTGCACACATAGCCCCTTCCATGCCCCCATGCTGGGGGTCTTTAACAAAATCATTTCTGAACTGGAAAACTGCAGTGATTAGGATCTTGAACCAACTTGTTTCAAAGGTGATAGCCAGTTTCCTGATAAGGATGAAATAAGAAACAGTGGTTAATGGAAGGCACCCTGGTCTTATCACATTGTGGCAAGAAGGAAGGAAGAAAATGTTTTTAAAAGATCTGTGTACATTAATGTTTTGTGAGTATGTTGCTTTGTCAAGCTGAGATAAGATTAAGTAATGTCCAAAGAGCTGCTAGGTCAAGCTATTTTTTATTGTCTAACTGGCAACATATTCTCACAAAGTATACTTACTGACAGGATTATCTCATGCTAAAAGATACTGAGTATATGAAGTGTATACAATGCGAAACTTTTTATGTCCAAAAGAGACTCTCTGGTAGAAATAACCATCAGACATATCACACTGATATTTTGATGAATGAATTAATTCAGTACAATTACATTAACTCTAGCCTAGTACAAATGTAGCAAACTGTAGTTTATGACTCCAAGAATAACTTTACATTAAATTCAGGTTTGTATGCTCTCATTGTCTTCACATAGGGAAAGCTAAAGCTTTCTGTTTCAAATTGACTGCAATTCCCCATTGCATATAAACATGGGGGACTAGTTTGTTCTGATTATGGTTAATTAAAAGAAACCAAATCAAACAGAGTTTTTATCCTCTGGTTTGTTAATTATCTAGTTAGAAAACATGTACTTCTCACATCTTGTGTGTGCAGAACAAGCATGCAAGTGGGCATATTCATGTAACGATAAACTACAGTTTGTCAATGATAATTGGAAAGGGTGGCAGAGTTAAAATGTCAATTAAAAATATAATAAATCAAGAAGATAGAATTAAAATAAGATAATGGATCAAAAAATCAATAAGTCAGATGGTCAAATGTTACTGTTTTTGCTGCCCACTTGAAGTCCAATAAAGAGGATAATAACAATAATCCTAGAATTGCCTAGCTGGATGGGACCCTAATCTTGCTATTTATTAAAATTCATAACATTATTTATTGTGAATCTGGTTATCATTTTCCTAATATTTAGAATTCTGTTGTGCTTATTATCTTCAATATGCACTGCCCTAGGAGAGTTTGCTTCTTTAGCAAATTATGACTAGTCTGTCTTATCTTTTTACATTAGTCTTTAAGTATACTGTATTTGGTCCATTGGATGGATGTTCTGCTGAAAATCAGGCCACTACATTCCAAGTAAAATTATTTCAGTTCAGAGCTACAAGATTGTTGTGGAGCTTAAACAAACCAAGTTTTCTAATATTACTAATAGTTCTGTCTTATCTTCAGCAGCATGTGGTCGGCTTCTCAGCATACTTGTCACAGAAACTGGTCTAGTGACAGAATGTTGCCCTTCAATTTTGCAGTAGCTTTGCTGCAGCACTACAGCATAAAGCAGTAGTGTTATCTAAGAGCTAGCTTTTATCAAAACTGTTAACTCTCTTTCTTGGCTATGTATGTACCATTTCAGACTGGATGTAGGAACTCCCAAAATGGAATATTCCTTTAGACACAAAACTCCCTCACGATAAAAGTGTATGTATGTGTCAAGGAGAAAGGGTCTAGTCAAGCTTTCTTCTTGACACGCAGATAGTTTGGTTTTTAAAAGAGATGATCATTCAATTGTGTTCCTCCTGCTATCTGGAATGGTGCAACTACATTGAAAACCAGCTGGCAAATTTTTTGCATGTCTTGAGACAGGAATTCTAGGGATCAATGATCCGAATGATCTCTAAAATCTCACAATCCAGCATTCCAGGATAATTATTGGATTGCTTGAAGAAAGGAATAAGAAGCCCATGCTTATGTGCCTCAAAAAGGCCTCCTAGCAGTTTCTCTCTGTATACTTTTTTCTTTTGTAGAGAGAGTAACATAGACCTATGTTGCCGCTAGTTGTTATGCATTAAGAGGCTAGATGTGGCACAAAAGTGCAGAGTTTTTGAGCCTTATGCTTTAATTCTTCTTTAAATCTTGATGGGAGGTGCATGCTTAGGCACTGCGTGTCCAAACCAACTTTGACCTGTGCCCATTTTATACGGCACCTTTTACATTTTGTCTGTGGCTTGGAAAACTTACTCTTTTTGGGGTAAATTACAGTTCTCAGAATACCCCCAGCCAGCATAGCCATTGGGCATGTTAACTGAGGGGATTATGAGAGATGCAGGGAAGGAAAAAAAAACACCACCAAAACTTGTAACCTTTGTTCTGAGTTCCTTATGCTGATGAAAGTATCTAGGTTAGCCTATGCGGCTCTCACCTTTTCTCCAAAAGAACTCCTCTTCTCATCTTTTCTTTTTCATGAGAGTTTTCTGTGCTCCTGTAAGAAAGGCATCTTTAGCAGCCTACACCAGCTCAAAATACATTCACATACTATGCAAATATTTTCCCCATTTCATTGGAGGTAGGAGGTTCTATCCAACCTCAGCTCCACCACTCTCCTCCCCAGATGACAGAAGCTCTTTATGCAATGATTCCTATGCAAAAATAAAATAAAAAGAAACAATAGCTGGCTAGATTTGAGAGGGTGATTGAGAGCCTCTCTCCCATAATTGGGGGATGGGTTGATTAATGCAAGCTCCTGTATTTAAATAATAATAACTTTTGCGGTGCATTCTCCTCCTACCCACTTCCGGGCTGGGAAAATGGGGGCAGTTGTTAAGTCAGTCATATTGACTGAAATTTCTCTTTGAAGGACACACAGAATCCCATGTTAAGTCTCCTGATTTGTATCTAAGATTGTGGAGATGAGGAGGCATTTGAGAGAAGGGGTGCTGTTGGTTAAGTCCACAGTCCTATGAATGTTTAATGGGAAATAAGGCCACTTAAACTGTATTGGGCTTCCTTCTAGGTAAGCACGCATAGAGGTGTTTGCTGTTCAAGTTTGTTACCACTCCGTGTGGCTGTTTGCCCTTTAATTGTTTTGATGTTATACCAAAATAGTAAGAGGCAAGCTGGTGTGTTTTTTAAACCACAGATATTCCAGCACCAAATGACCTTCTCAACAAATCGTAATTACAGATTTTCTGCTGATGACTCCCCAACTCCACTTTAAATATTATATGCAGGAAAAAGATGAGACTAGGTAGTCCTGGGACTTCTGGTGTGTTTCCATTCTGCACTTTAAATCCTGCCCCCATTCCCACCCATCTATCAGGGTGAATGGCCAATTTTATTTCATAATATCTTCTTCATTGCTTTCCTTGTACAGTTTGTTTTGGCTAATTTGTTAGAGCTGATCAACACATTTATGTGGTACAGTTATATGATGTACTTCTCCTGGAAACTTCTACTTCAGACTGCAGAAATGTGTGTTTGTGGAAGAGAGTTTGCATTGGCTTATAAACAGCAATGCGCTCCCCTGGGATGAGTAAAATTGTCACCAGATGAACAGGCAAAACAATTCTATAAATTGGATCAGACTAGTTTGTTTGATTATTATTATTATTAGTTTTAGGTTGTAGATAGCAAATATTAGTACTGTGCATGAGCATGTCAGCTAATAACATTTTTTGTGAGTCAATTTTTCTAGATTTGGTTTGCATAAGATAATGTTCTCCCGTATTAAACAAACTATGCACCCATAGAAAATTAGTGTGTCAGACTGGAAGGCTAGCCAATAACTCTTGATGTGGTAACTTTCCATAGTTGAGGGTTTTTTTGTGATTTTTTTTTAAATACAGAGATAAATTCCCTCAAGCATTCAAAAGTGGTATAGCCAGGATGATCTGCACTGAGAAGCTGTAGGTTTCCAGGACAGCTGTACCACATGCTTTTTCAAAGATGTAATTTGGCTCTGAATATTGAGACTAAGATTAACATTGTCTTAGCATCTCTATTCAGCTATGTAACACTGCTTAGAAATGTTGTCACAATTTGTATGCTCTTCCTTTGGGATATTTCTTTCCACTGCCCACATCAAGAAATATAATTTTTCCATGAAAAATTATGATAGCAACATCAGTGTTGCTTTGCTTGCACACTCAGAATGATAATTTTTCCAAAATTATTCGTTCTCTTTCTTTCTTTTTGATATTTAAGGAGGAGTTATTTGTTCTTTATATGGTAATATAACTGTTATCTGTTCAAAATGTTTTTATTATTTTTTAAAAATTGCTAAGTTAATTTGGTGCAATGGGTGTCAAAGAAAGAAAAAGAAAGAACATTATTGCATTTTTAGCAAATGAATCGTTTCCATGCAATTCAGTTGCCAAAAATTCTTTATAGAAAAATATCCCAGGATATGCGAATTAATAAAAATTTAGATGTGATTCTTTTAAAAATAGGAAATATTTAGAAATGCTTGATTTCGTTTATATTTTTCATAAAGAAATGCTAGAGCTCTCATTTTTGCTTAAAAAAAATCAACAAAATAGGCAAAGCATTTTTCAAATTTCTGAAATGTCTGATTCCTCCTCTACAATATATAAAATCAAGAAAGATTCCTCAATATCTCTAGATGTGTTAAAGTGTTCAGGAAAAAATAATAATTACATTCTAGCAAACCTTTAAATAAATAATTTTTTAAAAAGCATCATTCATTTTTCTGTTTTCAGTGTATTAGAAACAAAGAATGTTGTCGTTTTTAAAAAACTAATAGGCAAAAAATCTTCACAAATAAAAGAGGGTTGGATATTTTAAAAATTTGAAGAATGTCATAGGTTTTTCAAATGCTCTCTTTTTTTTAAACATTCTTTTCCATTTGGGGTTTTGATCCAAGCCACACAGAGATACTATACAAAAAACAAAACAAAACCCAGGAGTTCAAGAGTAGTATTGATGAACACTGGCCTAACTAAGGCCAGATTTGGGTTGGGGGGGGGGACCATTAGGCATCTGCATAGGATTGTACATGTCCCCTGCCTGTGATCCAAGTCAGGAAGCACCTTATCCCAAAAGACGCACTCCTCCGTGCTTATTCCACAAGAGCTGCCCTGGTCATATGCAGTTCTTAACCCGCAATGTCCAGCTCAACAAAGACTATGGAGCCTAGTGGTTTCTTAAACAGATACAGTTTGTCAACCATACTTCCCAATGTATAACTGGGTTTTTGTGTCTAATGTGTGTGTGTGTGCACATACAGAAAGTGGTTAATTGTCAGCTGATCACTGTTTGCGTATGGTTGCTTAGAAGGCTTCTTTTGAGTCAGGGCTCATGGCCATCAGATTAATAGCCCCAGAAGCTGTTTTCAGGGCTAGGAAACACAGCAATATCTTCTTCCTCTTAGAAGCACTAATATGTGTATCCAAGCAAGCAGGATAGTCACAATCTAAGGGGCTGAATGTGTACAATGGGAGTGCTAAAAGCACTCTGGAGGTCATTCCCTGCCAAGTTATTTACATATTTCAAAAGCCTAAAGGGAGGCAGGGGAACTTTTGGCATGGGACCAGCACCTAATACATGTTCATAGATTTAATTTAATTCCATATTTAATGCATGAGAAAATAAAAATACTCTGAAGCCTAGGATGTTGTAGGAAAAGACTAAGCTCTAGGGCTAAACCTCAAGTCCACTAGAATTAGACCAGTGAATGGTAGGTGAGGTCTGGCCCCTAGCTGGAAGCCTGAGATTCCCATCTGCCGTGGTTTGCATAGCCAGTAGTGAGGATTACTGGGAGTAATCCCTCAATATCTTCAGGGCCGCACATTCCCCACCCATGAATTAGACTCAGTTCTACACATATAGCATAAGATACTATAATGTGGATCAGGTATGGTGGATGATACCATTTTAGGCTGTTGAGGGTGTCAGCACCTTTTTTTTTTTAATCTGCACAATTTTCTGAAAGATTATTTGTTTTAATGCACTTTGGGAGAAAGATATGAATCCAGCCCTGCTGTGCTGCTTTTCTAGTTGTAGGACTTTGTTCAATCCCAGGGAGACATTGAAAAGTGGCAGTACTCCTTGCCTGAAGTAGCACAGCCCATTCCACCACCCAGTAATTAATCTCCTATGGCTGCACTGCATAGACTTGAACCGCACACTCTTGTCTGTAGCCAAGCATGGTTGTAGCAGCGAATATATCGGCTGGAGCTGCTTCTGAACATATACATGGTTGGTTCAAAGGTAGATGGAGCAGGTGTGTTTGTGAGTCTGGTCATTTGGACTGCAGTGTCTGCACACCCCTTTGTGAGAACTTGTTCCTTTTCTTATGCTCATAGCTAGACATGAACAGGTACGGCAACATTTCTAATGATACGGCATGCAGAAGAATTGGCATGTTTTATTTCTGCTGTACCATCATAGGTGGAGATAGTACTGTACAAGACATATCTTATGGCAAAAAATCCAAATAGTTCCTCTGACTAATACTACCAGCAGCAGCAACTCTGAAAATATAGTAATAAACTAAACCACTTAACATTTATTGTTCTTTCATTGTACCTCAGAATGGATTGTTTCAGGTGGACTGCCTCATCCTAAGGGTAAATAGGCAAAAGCAACTCTTGCAGGATGGAAGCCTAAAGCTGGCTATGTGTTATGATTTTATTACGTAATATCATACATTTGATCTCATACAGATCTTTTAAAAAACAATCATTTTATCTTTAGTGTAAAAGGAATTCACATTTACATAGTGCTGTGGAGTGAATGTGGAGTTTCAAGTATCTACTGGGCAGACTAGACCAATTGCTCAATTTCACACATGTCAAGTAACATATTATAGCCACATGGGGAAATAATTTGATAAAGCCAGGCTATTCTTATATCCTTTAGTTTTACCAGAACGTACTATAGGAACAAGTCCTTTGTTTGAGTGCCTTTGCTTGTGACTGCTTGAGCATGTCTCTTAAAAGACAATCTCTCCTTGTCTTTGCTAAGCTGGATATCCGCTTCTATGTATGTCTACAAAGTGGGCAGTGGGAGGCAGGAATTAACAGAAAGAACCATGATTCATTTTGGACATGTGGGGGATAAGGTGCCCCATTCTCTTGCAGATCATAGGGGTGATCTGAGGCCTTGGAAAGGGGGGGGAAAGGGGAGAGAGAGAGAGAGAGCAGCAGGTGCTCAGCAGAGGTCCTTAGACTCATATTGTACTTGGGTTGTGCTTCTCCCTGATACTGTATGAAATTAGGAGCAAGGATGACAGTGAGACAAAAGATGGGTGATTTTAGACTCAGGAAAGCTTGGGGTGGGGTGGGGGGTAGAAGTGCCTTCACCCCATATTGATGTGGGGGTGAGGCTTATGTAGGCAAAAGTTGCTTATGTTTGGCAGAAGAGGGTGCCAAAGCTGGAACTGAGGGGTGGGCTCAGGGATGGTTGGGGAGGGACACAGAGCTATTTTTTCAAGCAGTTGTATTATAATGATTATAATAAAATTTAGAAAGTGATGCTATTTTTTCATAAATCCCTCTTTTTCTCCCTCCAGTTGTTACAACATTTTTGAAAGTCCTGTAATGGAGGCATAAGGATTTCCCACGGGGCCAGCCAAAAAGAACCGGTAAAAAGGTGGGAGTGAAGGAAGAATGGTGTTCCTTTGCCAAATATATATATATGTATATGTATATGTATATCAGAAAGATTCCTTTGTGATTTTCAAAGTGTTTCTCTCCCAAATACTTTATTTCTTCTGCTCATACTGGGCATAAACAATTAATGACAGTTGCTCAAGAGGAACAGATATTTTATAGGGTTTTTTAATTCACAAAAGAATGAAACTCAATTTTCAAACCCCAAAAATGTACAATTTGATTTTTTTAAAAAGAAAATCTTTATCTACACTCAACTCCCAAATAGAAGCTTTAATACAGAATGCTATATTTTAATGCCTTGAAACTTGAAATTATTTTTACTTCCTTGTTCAATATAGGTGACCAAAAATATCCCCAAACTTTTTTTTAAAGTTCAGTTTTCAGACATTTCAAAGTTGTAAACAAGTGTTTATTTGACCATTCAAAAAACTAATCATATGAGGAAAAAATCAAACAGTTCAAAGAGGAAATAGTATATGTGGAGGAAGATAAAACTTTTCCCTCCCACACATACAAATGCCAGGGTCTTTATTGTGCCTGACACCCCGTGGTATTTCCTTCCTTCACATGCAACTGATGTGCCAAAATGTTTTGACGTCTCAAATGTTGAACTGCTAAATGTTGGGGGGCATTGGGGAGGTAGGAGGGTCAATGGGGACTACATTCAAGTTTGTACTAATGCTTTGACTCCCTCATCCTTTCTCTTTCATTTCACAATCATTTATTCCCCCATCTCCCCACTCACCCACCTTTAGTTTTCATTCTGGAAGAGCAGCTGTATTAGCCGATCTGCAATGAAAGCAATTTTTGTGTAGTCCCTTAAAAATTAAGTTTCTGGTGTGGATAAGACTTAAAACTTTGGCTGTGGCCCAGAGCTCTCCAACAGAGTATTAGGCTTTTGCCAATACAACTTTCTGCTCCAATAAAACATTTCATGTTTTAGAGTACCACATGAGCAAGCTTCATTGGCATAGTTCACAACCTCCTTACCCAACAAATGATTGCCATCCTTCAGCCTCCTCCGGACAAGATGTTATTGGTCATGAACTAAGCCTAGTTCATGCTCATTCCATTCATACACAACCAAACCATTCCAAGGGACACAAGGAGATAAGCAAAATATTTTCTTTCCATTGGTCACCATGTGTTCCAGTTTGCCATTCAACAAATTAAACTCTAGAAAGGAAAGAATGTGGCTTTTTTTAAAAGCAAAGGGAAAACAGATTACAGTATGTCCAGTTATACAGAGTCACCTCAGTCCAGCTGCAGATAATTTTGGGAACGAAGGAGTCTTCTTCATAGCTGCACTAGCTTGACGGTGGAGAAGGAATGGTAGGTTGGTTCATTCCCCCTCTCTGGGGATTTACAAGACCCCTTTCAACATCTGCTTTCCAAAATCTGACATCCAGAGCTAAGAAAAGCAATTTTTTAAAATACAATTCCCAGATTCCTCCACTCAGGATAGCCAATGTTCACAGCTTAGTTTTTCAACCTGCCTCTATCACAAGGACAGGAAATATGTGGCTTTTGTCAGGTTGTTGGATTGTGACTCCTACCATCTTTGCTGTTGGCCATAACGGCTAGGACTAATGGGACCTGCAGTTCAACCACAACTGAAGGGCTACACATTCTCCAGCTTTACTCTAAAGTTGTGCCCTGCAGTACGTAATTGACAAGGGATGACATTTATCACCATGCTATGAAAAGTCTCACCTGCTAATTGCTACAAGTCATTTCCACTAGTAAAGGAACAGTTGCAGAAACTGAGAGAAGAGTTGTCAGCCTTGCCCTCTACAACTGCCTTTAAAGAACAATGATTCCTAAGGTTCCTTGAGGATAATTTAAAGAAACGAGACCAAAGTTATTTATTTGTTTGTTTGTTTGTTACAATTATAGCCCACCCATCTAGTCTACATATGAATGTATTCTGATATCTACTTCACCTAATAAACTGGTTTCTCTGTCATAACTTCCCACAGGCCAATGCATACTTAAAACTTTAATTCTGAGGTGGGGAAAGATAGATTAAAATTCTCATGACAGAAAATTCTGAGATCTGCAGTAAATCTAATGTAACACTAACAGAACTGTGCTAACACAGTTGTCCCATATCACACCTTTTTTCAGCAATCGTGCATGAAGTAGTGAATACTGCCCTTCTCTTAACTCTAACAAAAGTGGAACCACTCTTACAGTGGGCCACCTATTGCCACAGTGACACTGTTGGATACAAGCCTCTGTATTGTCTTCTACAATTAGAGTCTTCAGGGGTCTTTGGGAGAAGCTTTGGCTATTAACTTGTCTAATTACAGTACTGGTTTAGGTTTACAGTATAGATGCATTCCTCGGGAGATATATTTGAAGAGCATGCATTCATGTGTGAGTTACAGATGCATTGCAGTAAACCCAGAATTCACACATTGGGTAACACACAGAGTTATAGAGCTCATGCATTTACGCACAAACCTAACACATCTATGTGCAGCATGTGGTGATAACGTTCATATTCACCTGTATATTTTCGACCTACACTCTCAGGGGGTATCTACTGGATAAACCATTATGAACACTGTATGAACCAATATAGTTATCATATCAACACTTAAAGTATCTTAGGTGTTTCATGAGGGGTCGAATAGGCATTGTATAGAGTCTCATGCCCCTCTCACCAAATTACAGTTCTGATTTCCCTGGGGAAACCTGTAACTTATAAACAAGTTTTGTGAGCATTGTATGTATGTATACCCAACATTCAAAAAGTACAAGAATTTAGGAATCTGCTTAATACCAAGTCAGACTGCCAGTCCTTCTTGCTTGGTGTTGTCCATGATGATTGTCCTGGGTTTCCGGGAGGAGTCTTTTGTTCTGAATGTGCCACTCTTCCAAGGATGATCTGGAACACAAACTATGTGCTCTGCCACTGAGCCATAGTACCAGGACCCCACCACTTGCAAAAAAGCATAATATTGATGCAAGCATGCATGCATACATACATGCTCATACCCACCCAACCACTATTACCATTCCATAAATTTCCCGCCTTACAGCTGTTCATTGTAGGCCATTGGCAATCTCCCACTGTTAGGCCATGGGGATAGTGAGGCAGCTATTTTTGTCTGCAATTCAAGGAGGTGCTGTTACTGGTTCTCTTCTGGAGACATTTATGCTGCTCTGTCCTTGCTCACTCCTCTTTAGATATATGTTCTCACATAGTGAAAAAGCTACATTCAGATCAATTCCATCCAGAAAGCAATAAATCAGCTCTTCTTGCCATCCTGTCCCAATAAGGGAGAGGTTCTCTAATCACAACAATGCATTCACATTCTGCCTTGTGGTGACAGGTCAGCATGGAGCACCAAGCATACCACTCTCCCTCAAGAGCCAGCCTATCTTTCAAAATCCCTTCCATCCTTACCCACCTTCGTTTTCCTTCTCCTTCTCCCAATGCAATTTAAACTCAACTCTCCCTGTCAAGCATTCTGGTAATTTATTCAATGCAGCTAACAACAATTTGTTCCCCCCTCCTTCTCCATTCCAACTCATCTGCTTCTATCCACTCATCATCTTTCAAAAATCCATGGTCAATCCTTCCAGTTTCCTAGTTCTTCCTTATTCTGTCTCCCCAAGTCAATCCACCTCAAACTGAATAAGAATATGATTTGTTAACTGTCATAATGGAGAGAAGTATTACCAAAGTGTGTAGGAAAGACAGATCCTTAGGTTTAGGTGATCCCTATATTTTACAACCGATAAAACATCAACCCTTAACCTGACTCATCAGTTCTACCATCTGTTGTGAACCCCACACATCATGTTCTCCAAGAATGATCCATCTATTTGCCAATACATGTTCTCCACATCTAGCTATCTGTGATAACTTTACTCCTAATAAACAAACATCCCTCTCTGTTCTCAGTGTACTACCTCCATTCCCCTTCAGTCTCATCCATCTGTCACTCCAGCATACAACCAATAATCTGTCCATGATGTTCTCAATATTTCTATGTGCAATGTCCATTCTCCTTCAACTTGAAACCCTTCACTTCTCTACTACTTCTGCATAAACCTTCATCCACCTCACCAGCCTAGCACATCATTTGTTTTAGTCTGCTCAGGTAAGGGAGGGAGTAGCCATCAAAATCTAGGCCTGTTGAACCTGGAGAAAGCAACTGGGTCAAACTGGGTTTGGTTGTTCACTATCATGTATCCCCATTCATCCTTGGACTGTTTCTTTATCATTCAACTCTGGTGCTATAAGGAATTCCTGGATTAGGATTTGGGCCTGCATTCTCCTGAAAATGCTGTTAAGACTTGCTCTGTTTTCTCCCATTCCTTTACATCTCCCATTCATGGTGAAAGAAAGGGAAATGTATTTCATTTCCCCCCACCTTTTTCAGTGATTTTTATTTCTTCCTTCATTTCACATTTCATCCACTCTGCTTCCCCACCAGCACCCCATCATCCCCTCCTTTCCCCCTAAAAGCCCCCTGGTCTTTAGTCTCTGGGACATTATATTGTCTGCATGAGCTGACATGCCGAGGTTACAGCATGTAATAAAATTATTTCCTTTTCATTTAAAACTTTGAAAGAAAAAAAACCAATTGTATCCAGACTATTATTCACAGGTTGCAGGAGGGTTGGAGGGAGAGGTACACAAGGGGCAGCTTGTCCGGATAACAAGGTGAAATTAACACCACACTCTCATGGTCAAAATAGGTTATATATTTCACTTTTATGAAATGTGCTCCCTAACCTGAGGAAAGACGTCTGTTTGTTATAGCACATGCCTGTGTATTTTGCATTTCGTGTGCTTTATTTTGTGATTGGTTACAGAAAGTAAACACAGGCTTAATTTACAAGTCTAACTGCTGAAACACATACCTATCTCTGAACACCCCCCACTATGGGAGGAAAAATGAGTTTATCATTGAATATCCATGTCCCTTATTGTGTGCCTGACCTTCAGAAAACAAAGTTGGGAGGGTTGGCAGCAAACTCTTTATCCTCCTCCATTCTCCACTACATGCAGCCTGCACCATTGTCTCTTTGTTTCATTCTTCTATTGGCCACAGGAGAGGCCATCTTTGACATTTTTCCAAGCTTCCAGAGAAAGAGGATGAACAAAGGAAATGGTCCCCACAACAGTTAACAGCCAGGTGTGGTATTTGGGCTAGTGCAATGTTTTGGATGGAGTGTTGGACTAAGACTTAAGACTTGGGTTCAAATTCCCACTCAGCCATGGAAGCCAACACTTATAAAACCACTCATTATATATCTTGCTTACTTTGGAAATCCTACTAGGATTGTAATAAATCGGAATCAACTTGATGGTACATATTGCACAGAGGGGGGAAAACAAAAATGTAGCTCCCCCTTCACAATAGGAATTATGTCAGCAGCAGCAAATTGCTGATGATTAATGTCTTCATTTTGTTTTAATTTGTGGGTGAACATGGCTTGCATGTGCCTTGAAATTGAAAAAGGAAATCTTTAAACTGATAAAAATGTAATGCATATTGCGCAGGCCAAATTATGCCCAACAGAATCTTGGCCAATGTGCTATGTTACTTGGAAGTAATGGAGGGAGAATAGATATGTCTTACGGGTGAGCAATGATGCTGAAACCACCCCAGGCAAAGGTTGTCTCTTGTGTTCATATATAACCGACCCATCAATATGACAAGGGGAAAGACCCTCCTTTCAAAGGAAAGCCATTTTTTCCCAGAAAGATTTTAAGATTAATTGCCTGTGCCCTTTGAAATTTTAAAGTCTTAACACTGGAAGGAAAACTAGTAGTTATTACTTATCAACAGTAGATCCAGCATGTGTGGCACTATGCTAGCCTCTCTTTGATAGGAGAGAAAGCTGTGGCAGCTTTGTTTCTTTCACCCCTCCTTGTAATCAACCACAGTCCTGTGCAACATACGAGGCTGGAGGGAAACAACTGGCTCAAGACTACCCCTCATTAGCTTCACAATTATTTTCACTGCAGGATTCCTTAAACCAGCTGGATACATGCCACTGCTCTGGATCTCATTACTTCTCCAGTTTCAAGCAGGTGGTGGTGGGAACTGCATTTTCCTGTGTAGATTGAATGTAGAGAAAATGAGTTTGCAGGATTGTGTACACTAGCTGTGGAGATTTCATCTGCACAGAACAGATGAGCAGCAGCTGTGCATTATCCTTGCAAAATCACCATCTCCTGTCAATCTCATCTCCAGGAAATGGTTTCATAGGGAAGATCAAACCATGGCTTAGCACTGTGTGAATATGAGTAGCAGGACACTTAAACTCCCATGCTACCTCTTTTCTACCCTCACATATGACAATTCCTTTGCAGGATCTCCACACTGGCCAACTAGGTTTTGAATGTAGTTTCCAAAACTGGTTTGCTGGGCCATTTAGAAAAATAGGTCCCTGTTACTTACCTCCAAACAGGAAAGGAGAGAGAAAAATCAGCACAGCTAATGAAGGTCAACATCTGGGAGTCTGAGACTCGGGCATGTAACAGTCCATCCAAACAGTCTCTTTGTCCTTCTCATGGGTTTTGCTTTTCTCGTGCTTTTGTCTCTGTTGTGATTCCCTACAACAATTCCCACAGTTATAGAAACTCTTGTTGTCCATGAGTTGGAATTAGTTTACTGATCATAGCAAAATTTCATTTTGGGTGTTAGCTACTCCAAAAATTCCAACACCAGTGGTAGGGATATATATTATACAAAGCTTTGGAAAACCTTAGATCCAAGCTGTTATCTCACATAGTTAAACCTGGATTTGCTAAGCAGGACGTTGTCCATCAGTTACATATGGCAGGTCAACAGGGGAGCTTAATCCTCTAGTTTGGAGGGGAGTCCCCTGGACTGCAAGGAGAACAAACCTATCAATTCTAAAGGAAATCAAACCTGAGTGCTCACTGGAAGGACAGATCCTGAAGCTGAGGCTCCAATACTTTGGCCATCTCATAAGAAGAGAAGACTCCCTGGAAAAGACCTTGATGTCGGGAAAGTGTGAAGGCAAGAGGAGAAGGGGATGACAGAGGATGAGATGGTTGGACAGTGTCAGTGAAGCAACCAACATGAATTTGACACAACTCCAGGAGGCAGTGGAAGAGAGGAGGGCCTGGAGGGCTCTGGTCCATGGGTTCACGAAGAGTTGGACACAACTAAACGACGAAACGATGACGAGCAAAAAAGAGGATTGAGATTGTCAGGACCCATAGGTCTACAGTACACAGCTTGTGGAAATTGTTAGACTGGTGAATTATGACTTACATTTGAACATAACTCAGACCTAAGGTCATATACGTAGTGTCAACATCATCTCTAAATGACATTCATGTACTTGTGAGAAACTGGCAGCTGTGTGATATTTTACTAGGCTACCTAATTTTGCAGCACTTTATCTGGTTGTCAGTTCAGGCAATAGAAAACCAGAAATATCTTACTTGAGTGAGTATCAGGCTCCAGCACTTCCCTATATTGGTCTTTCTGAGATGATTGAACAAAAACATGCACGTATTTCCAAGTTATCGAACAGACTTCACTGATAGTGCTCAGGTATCCATGATTGCCAAAGACATTGTGGAGCTAAACCTTCAAGTCATTCTTCTGGCCCTGGTTACCCTCGTACAGTTTCTGCAGCTAAGTTTCCTTTATCTTACAGCTGCATCCAATGCCTGTTGAAACTCCACTGGGCTACTTGCCAAGAAAATAAATAAATTTATCTTACAGCTGCATCCAGTGCCTGTTGAAACTCTACTGGGCTACTTGCCAAGATACAGTATTAGTCATGCCTACAAGTTGTGCAGTGACTTACTTTCGAATTGGTATGACTGATCTGGTTCTTCCACACTATTACCAAAAAAAGGCTATGGTGAAAATCTCGGGATGTGTTTGTTTAGGCTGCTTCTGCCTCTACCCAAAGTATCGGCTCTCAAAGGTATCTTGGTTTTGAGCATGCTGATTAAATAGCTTTGGATCTTTGTGTTGTGGTTATACACAGTAGTGATGGTGCCTTTGTTCAGTTGCACTACAACAAGACTATCAACAAGAGTGCAACAGCCCCCTTTAAAAAAGAAACAAACAACAACAATGCTGCAGATAATTAGTTCCTAGCCCACTTAATTGTTTTTAACAAGGAGTAGTTATAGAAGCCATATATAGCCAAACATGTAAGTCCTGGGGAATAGGAAATGGAGGGAGACATTGCTTCTTTTACCCCCTCCTCCAGTTGGCACCCTTGTGGGGTTCCCTGTTTTATGTAAGACAAATTCATCATCACAATCCTTGTTTTAGGATTTTATCCCTTAATGAATCGATGCCCTCATTAAATGGATTCTACATTCTTTCAAAAGGCCCCAGTGGAATTGTGATGCGTCTGTGGTTAGCAAAGAGACTTCTGGGCCTTTCAGCCACCAACGGGAAATGGCTTTGGCTGCCAACAAAGAAGAACTGGCCACTTGCCAAACCCTTTGGTCTGTGCCAGAAACTCCTTCAGTTCAGCAATAGACAAGGATGTTGGCAGAGAAAAATGCAGACAGATTGCAAAGGAACAGCAGTGAGGATAAGTGGCTGCCTGGATTGATCCCTTCTATATAAGAAAGAGGCTATATGCTGATATCTCCCTTGGCTTGCCATTTCTACACTGCTTAAAAACATGTGTAAGCAAGGCAATTAAACCAGGTTAAAGCCAGTTTACCCAGCGACGTGTAGTGGATAGAGTAATGGACTAGGACTTAGGAAGTGTAGGTTTAAATCTCCATTCAGCCATGGAAATTCACTGGAGACCTGGTAAAGCCACCCCTTAAATGTCTCACTTACCTTGAAAACCATTGAAAACATTAGTTTTACTGTTTTTAAATTTGTAATGCCATCCAGAGTGGACCTTTGGTCTAGATGGGCGGGGTATACATCTAATAAAAAAATAAAATAAAATAAAAAATAAATACCAGGTCGCTATAAATTGGTTCTGACTTGACAGCACATAACTCACTAAAGCCAGCTTAAGTGTTATGGTTGCCAACCACGACGATTTAGTTCTTTGAAAAAGCCAGTAAGGTTGCAGAATATTAAATATTTAATAAGCAATTCACTTTGGTTGCTAACAAGTTGGTTGCAACTTGGTTGAATAAATGAATCTGGATAAATCAAATATTTTGAGTATTATTTTCTGTCCAACGTAGTGCATCAGTTGTAGAAAACTGAGGTAATGCCTTGCATTTTGTGATATTCCTTAGATGCTGTTTTAGATGGCTAGGACGGATGTGGCAAGAGACGTACTGTGCCTAAAGCTGAGAGAGGGAAACAGAGTTTGGAGCAAAGCTTACAAAAATTTACTGTTTTGAACTAAAACTTCCAGAATTCCCTATTGCAGCACAGCTGCTGGGCATGTAGGATCTCAGAAGTTATAGTAAAAAAATGTAACTTCCCCAATCTTTACTAAGAAGCTTGTGCATTGCCTAATTTCATTAATAAGCACTCCTGTCTTCGTTCTCATAATTTGAATTTCAGGTTAAAGCCCAACCTGATCCACCAAACTCTCCCATAATTTGCCAGCATTCACAAGATATTTCCACCTTTGATCTTGCAAAAGCTTGGC